CACCAAATTCATTTTATGACACAAATATGGTGCTGATACCTAAACCAGGAAGAGCCAAAACAAAATTGTAGACAAATTTCCCTATTGAATATTATTGTAAAAATTGTAAATAATATTAGCAAAAAGAGATTACTGCAATTTATCACTAGGATAACACACTGTGACCAGGTGAGATTTATATCAGGAATGCAAGACTGGTTCATTATTAGGGAAACAATCTGCATAATTTACCACATCAATAACGAAACTAACAGAAATCATGATTATCTCATATGCAAAATAAGCTTTTGAAAAAATACAGCATCCATTCCTATTAAAAATACTAGAGAGCACAGGAATAAATGGAGTTTCCCTTAAGATAAGTAGTGTCTATATAAAACCAGTAAGAATTATCTGTAAAAGGGATAAACTAGAAACTGCCAGTAAGATCAAGGGTGAAACAAAGATGTCCATTATCACCATTGTTAATCAACACTGTATTAGAAATGTTAGCTTTAGCAATAAGAGAAGAAAGCGAAATAGTAGGAATTAGAATAGGCAATGAGGAAACAAGCATTAAACATTTTCACATTAGTCATATTATAAAGAATTAGAACCAATGGGAGGAATCAGGAGAAAGAAGAGACAAAACAAAATGAGAGGGAATAGTATGCTTCTATCTGCATTCAAAACTTTATAGTTCTTTCTCTGGATGTGGATAGCATTTTCCATCATGAGTCTTTTGGAGCTGTCTTAGATCCTTGCATTGCTGAGAAGAGTTAGCTAAGTCTATCAAAGTTAGTCATCGCACAGTGTTGCTGTTAACTGTATACAATATTTTTTTGGTTCTGCTCATTTCACTCAGCAAGTCTTTCTAGGTTTTTCTGAATTCATGAAACAAGAGCAAACTTTTATTATTAGAGAGGAAGTCAGTGAGGCTCAAGAAAAAATGAAGGAAATAGAACAATTGAAGGAACAATTTCTTATAGCAGGTAATATTCCATTACATTCATACCACGACAAAAAATGATAAATCTTTGCAGATGATATAATGGTATACTTAGAGAATCCTAGAGAATCAACTAAAAAAACCACTTTAGCAAAGTTACAGCATAGTGAATCACGTAAATCATCAACATTTTTATATATTACCAATAAAGCCCAGCAGCAAGAGATAGAAATAAGTCAGATCTAAACAACTGGAAAAATATCAATTGCCCATGGGTAAGCTCAACAAATTTAATAAAAATGACAATTCAGCCTAAATTTAGCTTATTCTGTGTCATACCAAATGACCAAAAAAAATTTACCTATATAATCTCACTATAAATATTTTTCTTGGCTTTTCCCTTCTCACTACCAAAAGGATGTGGACACAAAGGAAGAACTAGAAATTGCTCAGATGTGTCAGAAGGAATACCAAAAAACAGTTGACAAATTGGAAGAATTCATTTCAGAGAAAGAAGCTTCAGAGAAAACCATTGCTATACTACAAAAAAAGGTGGGCCTTTTTTTTGTTTTTTGTGTTTTTTTTTTTTTTTTTTGCAGTGCTGAATAACAGACTAACTGGGTTCTGAATTTTCCTCCATTCAACTTGATAGGAAGCAAAACTGTATCTTAAATGTAACTATACTTAACATTTTTCCATTTCTCACAAGATTCAAGAACTTGAGGCAAAACAAGAGCAAACTTTTATTATTAGAGAGGAAGTCAGTGAGGCTCAAGAAAAAATGAAGGAAATAGAACAATTGAAGGAACAATTAAAATCCAAAGATTCTGCCCTGGAGAGGAGAGAGATGGAAAACCTGGAGCTGGCTCAGAAACTCCAGGCCAGTCTAGAAGAAACAACCTCTGTAACTGAGGAGAGAGATGAATTGACAAAGACACGAGAGGCTCTTCACAGAGAGAGGGACCAACTGAAAGAAACTATAAGGGACCTCATAGCCAAGGTAAGCATCGCCATGTAGTAAATATGTTCTTGTGTTAACCAAGTCTTTTAGAAAAGAAAAAACAATGTTAGGATAATACTATTGCAAATATAATCTTGGATCTTCCTTTAATACTAAAGGATCAAGAAACAAAAGAAGAACTGAAATTTGCTGAGATGTGTCTGAAGGAGCACGAAGAGACGATTGATATATTCAAAGAATGCATTTTAGAAAAGACAGATCAAGTGTCAAAGAGTAAAGAAGCTTTAGAGAAAACCAATGCAGAACTGCAGGAAAAGGTAGGTTTGGGTTTTTTGAGCTGGAAAACTGTCTGACAGGATTCTATGTATACTGCTTTAATATTATTGGAAAGCATAGTAGATCTTTCTAAAGTAAGCTTCCTGATAGTCTTAAAGGAAATATGAACCCTTACATAACCTTTGACACGTTAGACCAGGGGTGGGGAACTGGCAGCCTCAAGACTACCTGTGGCCCTCAAGGTCATCAAGTATGGCCCTTTGATTGTCCAAGAATATATTTGCGTCCAAGAATAACTTACCCAGCAAAGTTGTGTATAATCTTGAATGAAAAAAAACGGGCATTTGACAAACTGTGTTTGTAACAGAAAGTCCAGAACTCAATGGAAAATTTGATCCAGAAGAAGTACTGTTAATTGTCCTTCATTCTCAAAGAGGACCATGACATCAGGAAGGTGATGAGATGACTTGTAAGTGAATTGGATTTAAGTGAGGAAGGGCTGTGCAGGGTTACCCGCCTTACATTACACCTAATGTTCCTGGAGAACATTAAAGACTACTAGTAAGGCACTCATTAAGATCAAACTGTTCACTGATAATATTTTAATATATAATAAATATTCTTAAAACTGTCATCGTTACTAAGGTAATTTGAAAGTAAGTTTGGAGCTGAGTTGTGTAATTATAAAGAACAAAATTGATCTGAAAAAGGTATTATAAAAAGGGAGGATGAAAGGAAGAACTAATAGAGGGGAAGGAGATATGGGTGGAGGGCCTTTAATGTTCTTATTCTCATCTGGGTTGAAGAGGAAACAATGTACATCTGGAAGGGTCGTTAAAGTCTTCTGAACCCATAAAGAGGTGACAAAATGGGGACAGGGTGGGGGTTTTGGGAGATAGAGATTGGGTTTATTTTTTTGTGGCTGTGAATACCATGACTTTTTGGTATTTGAGTAGCCTAGTGGGCCTTTCAAAACATGACCGTTAAGTATAAGTAATATTTTTTATTTGAAACAAGATTCAAGAGTTCCAAGAAAAAGTTTTTTTAATTTAATTTTTAATTACAAAATATTTATAGCAGCTCTTTTTGTGGTGGCAATTAAATTAATTTATTTTTAGTTTTTAACAATCACTTTCATAAGCTTTTGAGTTTCAAATTTTCTCCACCTCCCTTCCCAAGACAGTGTGCAGTCTGTTACAGGCATTCCTATTAAACATATTTTCACATTACTCATGTGTTAAAGACGAATTAGGACCAATAGGAGGAACCATAAGAAAGAAGAAACAAAACCAAACTGAGTAAAATCAATCCTTGAATTGCTGAGAAGAGCTAATTCTATCAAAGTTAGTCATCACACAATGTGGCTCTTACTGTGTACAATGTTCTCCTGGTTCTGCTCACTTTACTCAGCATCAGTCCATACAAGTTTTTTCCAGGTTTTTCTGAAGTTTGCTTGCTCATTTCTTATAGCACAATAGTATTCCATTACATTCATGTACCACAACTTGTTTAGCCATTTCCCAATTGATGGACATCCTCTCAATTTCCAATTCTTTGCCACCACAGAAAGAGCTGCTATAAACATTATTGTACTTGTGGGTTTTTTTTTCCTATTTTTATGATCTCTCTGGGAAATAGCCCTAGAGGTGGTATAGCTGGGTCAAAGGGTATGCACATTTTGTTTTTTGCCTTTTTTGTTTTGTGAGGTGATCAGGGGTTAACGGACTTGCCCAGGGTCACATAACTAGTAAGTGTCAAGTGTCTGAGGTCAGATTTGAACTCAGGTCCTCCTGACTCCAAGGCCAGAGCTTGAGCCCCTGCATCACCTTGCTGCTCCCGTTATGCATATTTTTATAGCCCTCTGGGCATAGTTCTAAATAATGTTTCAATTTTCCCACGTCTTCTCCAACATTTATCATTTTCCTGTTTATGCTAAATTTGTATTTTTTTTTAAAAATTTGAAACAAGATTCAGGAGCTTCAGGAGCAAAAGGAGCAAGTTTGTAGTATCAGAAAAGAAGTCACTGAGGCTCAGGAAAAAGTGAAAGAGGTTGAACGGTTGAAGGAGCAATTGAAGTCTAAAGATTCTGCCCTGGAGAGGAGAGAGATGGAAAACCTGGAGCTGGCTCAGAAACTCCAGGCCAGTCTAGAAGAAACAACATCTGTAACTGTGGAGAGAGATGAATTGACAAAGACGCGAGAGGCTCTTCACAGAGAGAGGGACCAACTGAAAGAAACTATAAGGGACCTCATAGCCAAGGTAAGCATCACCTTGTCCCCTATCTAATAACTGGTTTTATGAGAGACTAGTATTCCAAAAAAGAGACAGTAGTGTCTGTACAGTCTTACTATAAATATTTTTCATGGATCTTCCCTTCCTCCCCACTCCCAAAAGGATCTGGAAACACAAGAAAAACTAAAAGTTGCTCAGATGGATCTGAAGGAACACCAAGACACAATGGACAAATTGAAAGAATGCATTTCAGATAAAGAAGCTATAGAGAAAGCTACTGCTGAACTGCAAGAAAAGGTGAGTTTTTTTTTTTTTTTTGCAGGGCTGAATAACTGACTGAGTTCTGAATTTACTGCATTGACCTTGTTAGGTAGCATCATGGGCCTTAGCTAAAATAACTATTTAACTGTGTCTTAAATTAAATGTACTTAACATTTTTCCGTTTCTCACAAGATTCAAAGACCTGAGGTCAAACAAGAGCAAATTTTTAATGTTAGAGAGGAAGTCAGTGAAGCTAAAGAAAAAATGAAGGAAAATGAACTCAAAGCCAGTGTTGAAGAAACAACATCTGTAACTGAGGAGAGAGATGAATTGACAAAGACACAAGAGGCTCTTCACAGAGAGAGGGACCAACTGAAAGAAACCATAAGGGACCTCATAGCCAAGGTAAGCATCGCCATGTAGTAAATATGTTCTTATGACAACCAACTTTTAGAAAGGCCAAAGAAATGTTAGGATAATACTATTGTAAATATAATCTTGGATATTCCTTTAATACTAAAGGACCAAGAAACACAAAAAGAACTAAAATTTGCTGAGATGTGTCTGAAGGAGCATCAACAGAGGATTGATATATTCAAAGAATGCATTTTAGAGAAGACAGATCAAGTATCAAAGAGTCAAGAAGCTTTAGAAAAAACCAATGCAGAACTGCAGGAAAAGGTAGGTTTGGGTTTTTTGAGCTGGATAAATGTCTGATGGGATTCTATGTATATTGCTTTAATATTATTGGTAAGCATAGCAGACCTTTCCAAAGCAAGCTTTGTGATAGTCTTAAAGGAAATAAAACCTCTCCAGTACCTTCTTCATACCCCTTGATACACTAGCCTAACTATCTAATGTATTTTGTTTAAGCTGTTGTCTCAGGTAGTTTCTTAGCTGATTCTCTGGAGTTCTCCAAGTAAATAATAAATAAATTCTGCATCCTTAGCTGCAAAGCTCTACCTGGATATCTTATAAGTGTCTTAAAATCAGCATATTTGGAAATAGAACTTGTTTCCCCCCTAAACTCATTCCTCCTCTTTTTCCTTCCCCTCCCCTCCTTCTCCAAAATAATGTCATTCTCAATAGATATACTTTATTGCCCAGGTTCACAACCTTGTAGTCATTTTCAACTCTTCCTTCTTCCTTACCCTCCCCATCTTCCACATCTAGTTAGTGAACAAGTCTTGACATTCTTCCTCTGTAACACTTCTCATATCTGTTACCTTCTCTATCCTCTCATTGTAACTATTGCCATAGCTTTCTAATTGGTCTGGCCATGCATGCCTTATTCAGCAATCTTCATTTTTTCCAAAGTTATTTCATGTTACTCCCCTCACTTACCCTGCATTATAGCCAGCCTGGCTTATCTGCTCTCCCAGAATTCACCAGTCCATCTCTTGCCAATGTGCAAATTGTCCCCAATCCTCTACTTACTTTAAGGTACAGCTATGTATTACTTCCTGGGGATAAATTTTCCTGATTCCCCCTACTTTTTCATATTCTTTTCAAATTATCTTATATTCACCTTTGCACATGTTGTAGCTCTGTAGTAGAAATGTAACCCCTTTGAGGGGCAGGGACTATCATCTTTGTATCCTCTATACCTAACCCCTGACTTAAACCTAGAAAGTGCCTAACAAATGCTTGTGGTATTGAATCAGATTGAACTAAGAAGGAAGATACCCTGAGTAAGACACTTGAACCCAGTATTCTTTGTGTGCAGACTTGTAAAGTAGTTATAAATACATATGAAGTGGTTATGGAATTAATGAAATGCAGTAATATTTTCTCTTCTAATAATAGAATCTAGAAAAACAAAAGGAACAAGAAAGTCCATCTATCCCGGATAAAGCACTGAAGGATTGCTAATAGATTGAAACATTTGGTTTAGACAAACAAGCAAACCCAATTTGAAAATGCATTCCATCCCCCAAACAGTAAGATTGAGTATTCACAGAAAGAGGGAGTACATCCTTTAACTCTGTTGGGGTAGTTACCACAACACCTGTATTTAACCAGAATTTTGTTGTTTCTCCATGCCGACTCTATTTCCATGGCTGCAGTCTATGTGTATATGTTGTCTTTTTGACTCTGTTTTGTCATGTTTTTCTAAATTTTTCATATTCATCATTCCTTACATCTTAGTAAGGAATGCCATTACAGTCATCACATTGTAGTATATATAGGTCTTTTTTTGCTTGTCAGTACTGCCTCCCTTCTCCTAAGAGAGCATTCCAGGAATGGGATTTCTGTGTCAAAGGGTATGAAGAATTCAGCAACTTTTCTTCTGTGATCAACTAATTTTATTGCAACCCCATAGCACTTGTTATTTCATTAATTACATTTTTAACAATTAATATTCTTGGGCTTGTCCATGTAGGTTTTTTACTAATCTGCATGGAAATATGGAGATAACTTCAGCTGAAATCTGTTAGCACTATGCCCCTTTTCCCCATACAGCATTATATTCCTAAAATTTTAGTCCTCAAAATTAGCATTGTCTAGCTCTATAAATTGGTAATTTGATTGCTGAAGCCCTAAAACTGAATAATAATTTAGGTAGTAGTCATTTTTACTGTATTGACACAGAATCATAGTTTTATCTGAGTTGTTTTGCCTCTTCTACCTCTTCCTTGGTTAGGATTTTTTTTCCCCTACCCGTAATTTTGAAAGCTATAACTCTTTTTTCTCCTGATATTTTTTTTTTGAGGATTACATGAGGTAATTTGTTTACTTTGCATTCAGTTTCCCTTTAGTGACTTTTTCAGTTGTTGTTATAGTCATTATGGATATCTTTCTATTCTACTTATTTTGTTCTGGGTTAGTCCATATGGCTCTTTCCATGCATCTCTGAATTTTTCATTCGTTACATGACTTTTTTGTATTGGGATGCAAATGATTACTGAAAAATGGAAAGGGGACTTGTCAGAAAAGGAAGCTCACATCTTCAGCATTCAAGGAGGTCTAGAGAAAACAAAATGAATTACGAGAGAAGGTAAGACTACATAGGTTTACTATAGACTAGGTTTCTGTGGCTGCCTTATAGAGGTGTTAGGAAAATTACTCCTACATTTACATACCATTTACCTTTTTTTTTTAACCTATGTCTCAAGACCTTAAAGCTTCAAGAAACAGAAGAGATGCTTCTTAGTGTGGGAAAAGAGGTGAATGAGACGAAGCTACAAAGGCAAACGCTGTGTCAGTTGGTGGAGCAGTTGACTCAAACATTGTCAGCGGTAGAGGCAGCGAGACTGGACTTGACCCAGAAACTTGATTCAAGCCTTAGTAAAATGAACACTGTCATCAAGGAAAGAGATGCCCTGAAGGAGACAGAGAAGATTCTCCAAATGGAAGTAAACCATTTGAAAGAAAGTCTAACAAAGAGCAGAGCCCTGGTGAGAATTGTTTTGCCTTGTTGATAAACTACTGTTGACTGAACACAGATGAGGGGTTGTTCCAACTGTAGAGGGGAGCTATGAATGATGACTTTCAGAAAGGAGCTGAGGGTGGGGAGACCATGCAGAGTTCCATTCACTTACCTCATATGATCCTCACGACCTTGTTAGATAGCCAAGGCTACTCTTATCTCTTTTTGCAAATGAAAAAAGTGATGCTCTGGTTAAATGAGTAGCATAAGGTCATGGAGCTAGTAAACTATTGGGCTCTTTGTTACAAATCCAGTGTCTTGTCCTGTGACTGGGCTTTTTTAAATGTAAAGTGCTGTCAATATGAATGGTGGTAATACAATAATAATCAGAATAATAAGCATTTATCAAGTGCCTGCTATGTGTGGGAAGTCCAATTATGTCACACTGTTCAGATCTTTTTTGTTGTACTATCTATAAACCTGTAAAGTCACTCTTCCCTCCTTCCAGAATGTTTTCAGTATGTCTGATGTGTTATAGTTCTCTCTAACCCAACACCTGCCATCTTTCAGGGTGAATTCTTGACTGTTCTTGATGAAATTCTTCTGATATCCTGATTTCCCAGTTAATCAGAATACTCACCTCCCATGTCCTTCATCTCCACTCTCTCAACTACTCATAGAAGGTGGTCTTCCTTGGATATTCTGAAAACCCAACCAGAAGGCTATTATAGTAGTCCAGGCATAAGGTTATGAGGGTCTGTACTAGGGTGGTGTTAGTATCAGAGTCAAGAAGGCCATATACAGGAGATACTAAGAAAATAAAAACAACTGTACTGGAATACTGATTGGATGGGAGGGGAGGAGTGAGAGAAGGACATGAATTGAGGATGACACAAATTGTAGGCCCAGGTAACTGGGAAGAAAGTGGTAGCCTCAATAGTAACAAAAAAATTAGGAAGCAGAGAGTGTTGCAGCAGGAGGTGGAGGTAATGAGTTCAATTTTGGACATGTTGAGTTTAAGATATATAAGGAGCATCTAGTTCCTGATGTACAATAGAGAATTGTAGGTTAGGATTAGTTAAATATATCAGTGAATCCACAGCACCTGATGAGATCACTAAGCAATGAGGACTTGAGCTAGAGCTTAGGTCATGAGTAGAGAGAAAGGACAACTGGGAGAGATAGTACCAACAAGACTTGGCAACTGATGATGTGTGGTAAAAGGGAGAAAGGAAGTGAGGCAAATCTGATCTGACCAGTAAGGAAGAAATAGGTCCAAGGGTGGAAATGATGGGAACCCCCTGAGAAGGGAGTAAGAGTGACCACTGTCTCCTAGAGTTTCCACTAGAGATGTATCAATTAGGCTGAATTTGACGTGCAGCCTAGATTTGGGGAGAGTAGGAAGGATAGGTAGGTCCCTTGGACTAAAATGCTGCAGGAGAAATAGCTGAAGCAGATTTGAGACTCTAGGGAGTGAAATTCTGCAGAAATAAAAGGAAGTAATTCCAATAAAGAGAAACAGTCATCTGAAGAGATCTTGCAGAGGGAACCATTTTAGAAAAGATACCTACAAAAGATGGAAGGCAAAGCAGGTCATCAAGGATGAATATGAGTGTCCTTGGTGCTTTAAAAATATGTCAGGATGATGGGGCAGGTAGGTGGCACAGTGGATGGAGCACCAGCCCTGGAGTCAGGAGGACCTGAGTTCAAATCCAGCCTCAGACACAGAACATTCACTAGCTGTGTGACTCTGGTCAAGCCCCATTGCCTAGCCAAAAAAAAAAAAAAAATCTCAGGATGGAAAAAGCCCAGAATGAGCTGAGGCTGGCAAGTGAAGCTAAAGGCAACAGGAAGGGCTTTTAAAGCCATATTAGGGCAAAGAAGATGGTCAAAGAAAGGCGGGAGCTTCTGTATGGGGTGGAGGAGATGAAAACTGACAGCAGAGAATGACCTTTACTTACTCTACGAACAACAGGATTAAAATGGCTGCTCAAGAAAAGGAAGGAGACAGTGCACCTGGTTGCTAAGATCACACAGCACTTTAAGGTTTACAAAGCATCTTATGTTATCTCATTTGTTTCTCACAACAGCCTCTGAGTTAGGGGCTTCAAAGTCCCATTTTACAGATGAGACTGGGAGGGCTTAGGTGTTTTGGTCAGAGACACACAGTTATTAAGTGTCTGAGGAGGGATTTGAACCCAGGTCTTCTAACTTTCAGTCCACTGGTATATCCACTTTAGCAGGCTGCCTCCCTAAGTCACAGATCTCTCTGACACTGCCTTCTATTGATTCTAACTAAAAGCATCCAGCCACTTCTCAGTTACTATATCCACTAGGCCTTTTTTTCTCCCTCCTGCCCACCCTGCCCGCCTTCCTGTAGTTTTTCCTTCATTCCTTGACTTCTGTGACACTACTACGTGGTTCTCCCACCTATCTGGACATTGCTCAGTTTCTTTCATTAGTCTTTCTTCCTCCTCCTACCCCTTAAATCTCTCTTAGGCTTGTTCAGGGCTCTCATCTCTTGTCCCTGTGCTCATTTCCTTAGTGATTTCATCATGGGTCAGCTTTTACACTCTTGAATCCATATCTCCAACCCCTAAATTTCTCCTGAACACTAGGCCTGGATTTCAGACTGCTGTTGGACCGTTGCCCTGGCACTTCAAACACAACATTTCTAAGACTTAGAACTCCAACCCTGTCCCAGGTCCCTACTTCCCTGTTTCTCCCCTCTTCCTAGGTACCCAACTTATCTCTACCATCTCTGTCACTCTCACTTATAATCAGTTGCCAAGTCCTGTCAATTTCTATCTCCACAATATCTTACACTTCTCTCCCACTTTTTACAGGGCCTCCACCACCCTAGACCTGGCCCTTGTCACTTCTCACCTTGAATATTAACGTAGCTTCTGTTCTTAAGTTTCTCTGCAAATACATCAATGTAGACACTCCCTCCAATGGGGCAGAGCACAGTCTATGCCTTCCCATCCTGTCTGATTCTTGGGCATATCCTCTTATAAATCCTCCAGAGAGAATATACCCATTCATGTGGAAATATCCAGAATATTTCACACAGCAACAACATTGATCTTCCTAATCTACAAGTCTGATCATATCAGTCAACAAGTGATTTTCCACTTACTGCAGCTTTAGCTGCATGCAAATGCATGGTTTTCTACTAATTATTTCCCAAGAGCTTCAGCTATTGACAGAGATTGGGAATAATTGGGGCCAATCTGATTTAATTTTTCCTATTTTGGGTAACTCCAAAACAAGCTCAAGCAATTGTCTGTGATCTAAAAGATGATAGTTTATAGGGTCCACATTGGGAGGACTTAGTCAAATATTGATGAATAGATGAATAGAATTTATAATTCATTCCTGAAATTTCCCCCGCAGGACCAACAGTATCTGAAAAACTTCATAAACAATGAAAAAAGCCCAAGAAAGGACATCAAACAATTTTGTTTTGAAAATCTCAAAGAAAAGTACTTGACGATAAAGGTATGTTCCAACAATTTAAACTACTAAGTATTTTCCTGCAGAGTGACTGTAGTTAAATATGTATTTAAAATATGGTCTAAGACAGTGGTATCAAATTCAAATAGAAATGGATCCCTGCGGCCACATTATATCTTAGAAAACCACAAAGTAACCTTACTTATGTTGTTCTTGTATAGTGGTTTTTCAGTCCTGTTCCACTCTCTTTGACCCCATTTTTGAGTTTTCTTGGCAAAGGTGCTGGAATGGTTTGCCATTTCCTTCTCCAGTTCATTTTACAGATGAGGAAACATGGTGACTTGCCCAGGGTCACACAGACAGTAAGTGTCTGAGGCTAGATTTGAAGCCAGCAAGTTGATGCTTTCTGAGTCCAGGCCTGGCACTCTATCCACAATGCTATTTATTTGCCCCTGTGTTAAACATTAAACATTTTCTAGTTATTTTTTTCTGCAAGTTTGACACCTGTGGTCTAAGAGGTATCATATATGTTAACGAATGACGTTATTGACTTTTACATTGTTTTGGAGCAAATGAAAATGAAGGAAACTGTTTGACTACCATCTCATCAGTCACCCAGTGCTACAGAGTAGCAGACCTTCTTTTGGCATAGTTTAGTGATTAGTATGAAATGTTTAAATCTTTGCTTTTGCTAGACTTTTCATTTGTTTTTAAACTGAGTGTATAGACACGAACATGGACCATGAGTAAGCAAACACTTTTAAACTAAAATGAAATGTGATGAAATTAATGATTTAGTAAAGCACAGCATTAGTGTTCTCTCCTTGTGATTTTACATGTGTGTGTGATAATTTTAAAAGGAGAAGAACCTTAGTCATCCATCTAGTTCCTTGTCCTCCCAATGCAGAAATCTTTTCTGTATATCCTTTGGCCGAGTACTTCAGTACCAGCAATTTACTTGCCTCCAGAGCCTGCATTTCCTTGTTAGACAGTGCTTATTAGGGATTTCTTCCTTTTACTGAACCAAAAACTGCTTTCCTGTAATTTGCTAGTCCTGCCTTCTTAAGTGTAATTTCCCTCCAATATCGCACACCTTCATATAATTGAAGATAGACATTCCTATTCTCCTCTGTCATAGCAAGGAGGCTAGGTAACCCTTCATTCCCTAAAGGGGAACCAGAGAACTCTGGTCTTCAGGGAGGACGGAGTAGGAGTAGGGTGGCTAGTTGTAGGGTAGCTACATGTGGGGCCTGATCTGGGATAAAATTGGGCCTTTTACTTTTTTGAGTACCCCTGGAGAGATTATCTAACCAGGATTTTTGATTTTAGATAACCTTAGACTGTTGAGATCCTGGAGAAATCTGGCAAATTTTTTTTTTTTTTTTTTTAGGATACAGTCAATTTTTTTTTTCCCTCAGAGTGTTCCTTCACAAGTCAGTTCCATTGGTATAGTTTTGAAAACTTCCCTTGTTAATTACTTGGCTGGTACTTTTTGTTTTCTTGTATTCTTTGTATAAATATTGATACATTCTGTATCACCACCAATCTCTGTAGATCCCTCTCAATAAAAGAAAAAATGTTTGCACTATTTCATTAGTCTTACATCTGCTAACAGCAAGATACTTGGTCTAATAACCAAGTCAGAACACAAATTACCTTAGGAAATAGAAGGACAAGTTATTGATTTTTTTTCCCCCTGTGCTGAAGATACATTAAGCAGCATTAAAATTTTGGCCACCTGATGTATCTATTGAGTTTGCATTTATTTTGCACCTAGCTGATGTTTTCTTTTCAATAATTTTGTTGATTCAAAACTGGATTGGATTTTTAATAATATTTCTCCTGCAGAAACAATTAAAACTAGGATTTCTAAAGCTCCACAAGGTATTTGATTGAAATAAATTCATGTCTTAACTAAATGATGTTAATTTTCTTTAGGAACTTCTGGAGAAATACGTTATGTTGGAATATCGCTGCTCATTACTGAGCAGACTTTATTTTTGCTTTGAAAGGACATTTTATATGCACAATCGCCTTCAGATCGACGCTCACCTATACCTTTTTCCTGCATACTTTGGAAAATGTCTAGCTGATGCCTGTAGTTATAATAATAATCTCCACGCAAATAACCCCTGCTTCCTGAAAGTCTTTGAGGTACATGCTTCTATGTGTCATGGTTTTCTAATAAATGAGGGTATGTTTTAGATTGGGCAACACGTTTACTACCATGAGTCACCAGTGCCTCCTTTTCTCGATGTTCACTATCCATATTCTAGGCCTTCACAACAAATGGCCCTCGGGCCACTTGCAGCTCTGTTACTGGGCACTCTCTCCTGTTTGTCATGTGACCCACGGCAACCAACCATTGCCAGACTGTCTCCAGTCACCTTTACTTGGAAAGTAAACTTCTGCGGCCTGAAGAAGTTTAGCCTAATTTAATTTTGGCCCCTACTTTTTGCCAAATTGGGCAGATCTGTTCTAGAATATGTTCTAGACTTTTGTTAGCTCTTGAAGTGGAGTTCACTTTCTGGCTGATAGCTTTCAGGCTCCACTCTCTTCATCTTTTTTGAAAATCAAGACAGTATTTTCCTTTTCAACCCACAGCTCCTCATACTATTTTCTCCGATCTTGCAGTTTGCTGAGTCGCCCAGCATTCACCACCTTCAGCTCTCTCAAGACTGGGGTGACTTGGGCCCATCTATGGCTGTTAGCTAAGCTACTCTCATATCATCTTATTTCTCTATTTATCTTGGGTATCAACTCTATCTGCCTTTTTATTTTCCTTTCCAGTCTAAAGATATTCTCCTTGGTATAGAAAGAGCTGAATAATTCTGATTTCATCTTATACAATTATATCCTATTATATCCTTTCATCCAATAATATACATCATCCTATACAATTCCAGCAGCAGCGGTCCTGTGCTTCCTTGATTCTTCCTCTTTTCCTGAATATTGTCTTCCTGATGTCATGGTCCTCTTTGAGAACAAAGGACAAGCCACAACAACCACACACAATTCTAGACTTCAATATTATTTTACAGGGCTTTTCCAGTCCCTCCTAAAGCCAAGTACATTCCCTCTGAGATTATCTCCAGTTTATCCTGGAGATGTCTTTTTTGTGTATACAGGGTGTCCCAGAAATCTTAATTTTAATAATAATTAAGTATTAAAACTGCAATAAGATTTTTGTGGAGGACACCCTGTAGTTCTCATGTTGTCTCTTCCCTTAGATTGTGAACTCTTTGAAGGCAGGGGCTGTTTTTTGCCTATCTTTTAATCACCAGGGTTTGGCATATAGTAGGAGCTTAATAAATGCTTGTTGATTTTGACTTGCCATGTCACACTGTTGACAACCAAGTGTTGGTAGCATTTGGTTCAGTTTTCTTTATGTATCTTTTTTAAAAATCTAAGTTTTGTTGATTTGTTGTTTAGATTTGTTGTTGATTAGTAACATTTGAATTCAGTATTGCTTAAAGTGATTCATCCTTTTTCTCACTGGAATTGTTTCTCATTTTGTATTCCAAGTTTCTTTTATGTAGGCTTGATGAGGTGATAATTTGCTACAGAATTTTATACCTAGACTATCCTTTCTCCAAACCTTTAAAATCTGCTTTCCCAAAATCTAGGTTCTAGGTTGCATGTCAACAATTCCCAACTTTTCTCTCCTTGATAACCAGTTCTGAAATGGAATCATCCAATCGCTCTTCCCTAGATCCCCATGATTTCCACCCCAGCATCCAATTCAATAATAGTCTCCTGTGTTGGTTCTTCTACCCAACAACACATCCTCATTTTTGCAAAAATGTGACTCACAATGAAATGACTGAGGGCTAGACCCCCAGTCTACAATAGGGAACTCTCTAGTTCAGAGAATCTCTCGACCAAGGGCAGTTGGTACCTTCTGTAGAATTTATACCCTTACATAATTGCCTAGAAGGGGGGTGACAAATTCAAAGAGAAACAGGGACCACTAATCCTTACATAAGGATCCCCATAATGACTTTGTTTTAAAACGTAACCTAGAATACTGAAAGGTTAAATGACTTGTCTAGGTGCACACAGCCAGTGTGACTCAGGAAGAACTTGAAATCAATTCTTCCTTATTCTGAGGCCAAAACTGGCTTTCCTCTCAACTATAGAAGCTAGAACATGAATAAAAGGTGATTTGGAGCATCCACTTCTTCAGTGCCTCTTCTCCCATTTGGTCAATTCTGCTTTTCAAGGCATTCTTCTCATTGGCATTTTGTGCCTCTTTTACCATTTGGTCTAGTCCGTGTTATTTTCTTCAGTATTTTTTTTTCTGTTTCCTTTACCAAGCTGTTGACTCTTTCATGAGCTTCTTGCATCACTCATTTCTCTACCCAATTTTTCCTCTACTTCTTTTACTTTTTTAGGTATCCTTTTTTCTTACTTGATTTTCAAAATCTTTAGCTCTTCCATAGCCTGAGACCAATTCATATTTTTTTTTTGGAGGCTTTAGATACAGGAGCTTTGCCTTTGTTTTTTCTTCGGAGTGTGTGTTTTGATCTTCCTTGTCACCGTAATAACTTTCTATGGTCAGAATTTTTTTTTTTATGTTTGCTCATTTTCCCCAACTATTTCTTGACTTTTTTAACTCTTTGTTAAAGTGGGCCTGTGCTCCCAGGGTGGAGGGCACACTGTCTCAAGCTTCAGGGCTTTTGTGCAGCTGTTTTCAGAGATACTTCTTGGGACCTGTAAGTTTTGAGTCCTTCCAAGATGGTATGAGAAGTGTGTTTACTACTCTCCTCGCTTGTGCTCTGGTCTGTTGAGTGACTATCAGAACTCTTTTCTGCCCTGGAACTGTGCCCAAGGTCCCTGCTCCATTGCTGCTGCAAGATCTGGTGTGCTAGTGCTCCTCCTCACCCTGGGATTGCCACCGAAGAATGCAACCCACACCTGAGTATGGGCAAAGCAACAGAGTCCTACCTCAGTGCTAGTAAAGAGACCCCCGCAATCTCCTTCTGATCGGCTGTTTGACCCCCTTGCCCTCTGTGGGCTGAGAGCTCCTGAAACACCTACCGCTCCTGCCGATTCAGTGGCTCCCAAGGCCTGCTCCCAAGGCCTGCTCCCAGTTTGCCGGTGCCTGGTCTGTGCTGTCATAGCGGTGCTGGACTGTGCTCCACCCTCACCCAGGTGTGAGTCTTTTCTGGTGACCTTCTAAGTTGTCTTTGGCAGGAAAATCACTTCACCCTGTCTTTATGGGTTTTGCTTCTCCAGGAATTGTTTTCTGGTGTTATTTAAAGATGTTCAGAGGGGTTTTGGGGAGAGCTTAGGCCAGCCTCTGCCTTTTCTCTGTCTTGGTGCTGCCCTCCCATCCAACTTCTTCCACACAGTCTTTTGCCACCAAAGCCAGAATAGGATTATATGAAATTTTACTGGTTTTTTTTTTTTTTTTTTTTTTTTAGTATTTGTGCCTTGGATTTATATCCTTCTGCAGTTAACTCTTCTAATTAGAAAAAGAATGTATTCCTTCTACCCTTGTAAAAATCTTAAGGTTCACAAACTGAATGAATGGATAAAAATCTTTGCATCTTATCAGAAGCAGATTTCCTAATTTGTTACATTTTCTTCCTGCTAGAATGTGTTAAAGTGTGTTATAGAAATAAAAAGAGACCATCATAATACCATCTACAAATTTGAAATGGACTTAATTGAGGAGGCAGAAAAGCAGAATGATTTATTTATTAAAGTACAGCATCTTCAACAACACTCTGAGATGAGATCCCAGGTGTTAAGTGGCTACAAAAAATTGAGCCAAAAGATGGATCTACATATTGTGGTATGTTAATTGTTAAAAAGTACTTTTAAAAATACTTTTTGTTTTTATGAAAGTAAGAGTGCACCTATTAATAGGGAAAAACCATAATTAAAAAAAAACAAAACAAAAAAACAAACAAAAGATTTTTAGAGCTATATCCTTTTAAGCCCTTGTATTGAGGGTAATGGACTGCTCTAACTTTCCCCAAGTTTCCCAAGGACACAGTGACCAGATGATTCTTTTTTTTTTATTTTTAATTAATATATTTTGAATTATCAACAATCACTTCCATATGCTTTTGAATTTTAACTTTTTCTCCCCCTCCCTCCCCACCTCCCTTCCCAAGATGGCAGATAGCTTTTTCATGAGGACATTTATATTTAAAAAAAACCCAAAAATCAAAACAACTCAAATATTTTCCAAGGCCTAATTAATCCATAGCTACAAAGCTGAGGAGCTTTGCATCCATTATGACTCTGTCCTTTTACCTGTCTTAGTAATGAGTAAAGGCTATATCTCTACTTCTCAACAAGCCCCTAACCCTTTAGACTGGCAGTCCCAACCCATTTGTGGGTCAGACAAAAAGCCAGGCCCAGAAGAATATTGATAGTTGAGTTCAATGTAAAGCAGTTTGAGTTGGAATAAAAAAGGAAAATTTTTACAATTTTTTTTTAACATTTCCTTATAGAAATATTAAAGCCTTTAAGATATGTAGAATGCCACAGATACTAACCATAAGATTATAGAATCTAAATGGAAGGAACTTTAAACAAAACCTCATCCAACCCTCTGATCTTATACTTGAGGATTTGTTCTGTAAAACTCAGTTTTGACTCAGTCAAAAGGCCCCACCCAAGGACCTAGAAGGCCTCATGTGGTTTCCCACTCCTGCTCTAGCTCATCCCTTTCATTTTACAAGTAAGTCACTCTCACAATCATTAGGAATGAGGATTCAACCCTCTTCCCAGTCTCTCTCATCACTTCACTGGTTTGTTATAATATAATAGCACATTTCAGGCAGATTTTAAATCAGACAACTAGAGTTAGGGCTGATGTTCCCTGCCACAGTTAGAGTATGTAATCTAGTATAAATAACTAGATTAACTTTTCCCCATTAGATTTACATTCTTAATTTACTTTAAAATATCAAGATATCTGAGGGATTTGAGTTTGGTACCGGCCTTCATTTTTATCGTTTAGATCAGTGATGAGATTTGATGGAGTGTTTATATACAGTCTTCTCAGAACTCAGAAAATTAATACTTTTCTCCACAGCAAATTCTCAAGGATGTTTTAGAGACTCAAAATTATATCAACGACGTGGTAGCTGACTTCCAACGACTGTTAAATGCTAAGAAAAATATTCTCTTCTCTCTGGTCAAGTGGACACAAGTTGATGAGAGAATCCTTAACATAATACAGAAGGAGAATGAGAGGATATTTCACATCCATCACCTGTTTTTAAATAAAATAACGGTGAGTGATTTCCCCCCCATCTTTCTATTATATATCCAATGAAAAATTTAATTTCTGTTTAATATAATGAAGTTAGTCACTTTTTGTACAATCATAGTTCACGGTCTTTAAAAGCAGGGAACAAATTCCATTTGTTTGCAAAATATTGAGGACAAATTTCATCCCTTCTTACTGTTTCAGATCCTGTCTCTGTTGTTACCTCTCTAATCATTCTCCTGAGTAAAATACAAATTCATCAGTCTGGTTTTCAAGGCTTTTACTCTTCCTCAGTCTCTTCCTTGGCTCCTTCTTCGTTCACGTTGCTCCCCATCCCGCAAGTGCAACCCTCTATCCATCTATCTCTCCTTGCTGACATTTCTTTTTGTTCAGGACTCAGTTTTTGTGTTGTCTTCTTAATGACAGTCCACTTGTCTTTAACCCTTTCACACACCAAATTAAGTCATCTCTCATACTACACTTATTTATTATTTGGTGTTACAATTATTGTATACATCTGACTCCTTTAATGATAAGCTTCTTAGGGCAGAAATTATGATGTTTTGGTGTGTGTATGGGAGGGGTCATGTTTGTGTCCCCCTCATTTCAAGAAGTCTCTTTTAATAACTTTTAAAAAAATAACTTTTAATAATATGCACTTAACAAAATGCACTTAATAAAAGTTTGTTGAATTGGGTTGGATAGTTTCTTGTAAAGGAATCATGTGAGTTTGTGAAGAGAGGTGCTGCTGTATGTAACAACTGGGAGCTTGAACTGAGACAGATGAAGGACAAGAATGAAGAAATGATAAAGAAATTTCAAACCGTAAAGACGACCCCTTTGCCACTGCATGACCTAGGTCCTCTTACTGTAGGAGAAAATAAGAAACATCATCTTAAAAGTACAAAGGTATTAAAAAAAAACTTCAATTTCACCTCACTTTTATACTTACTTGCAACCTTTCATATTCCTGCATGATTTTCTTTAAAATAAATGATATATTGTGTGTGTGTGTGTGTGTGTGTGTGTGTGTGTGTATGTTTATTTGTGCATATTGTCAACAGGCAATAACTTCACGAAATTTAGGTGAAAACTAGATTTTTACAAGAGAAATGAACATGCATATGAAACTTAAAGAGTTCACAATGCATAAAGAAGTTTGCATATTTATTACAGTAGGATAGATATTACAGTAGGAGGAGGAAACATAGAACTCATCTAAAGGGACATGGAAAGGGAAAGGTGTAGTAAAGGTAGGAAAAAACCCCTCCTGAAGGGGAGGAACAAGATGATGGCAAAAGCCACATTCTTTTGTATCTGCAAGAACATGAAGATAAGACGGTCTGTTTATCTAGAAGGGTCCCACCTGCACAAGCAGTTTCTTAGCCCAGTGCAGACTATGTGGTGATTGTCTTGACTTTTAAGGACTCACAGGCAGTCTGTTTTGGGATTCAAACAACACATTATGTCAGCTCGGGGAGGGCTTTGTCCTTGACATATTCAGGGCCTCCTGCATGATCTGGGTCCAGTGTTGCTTTTTTTTTTTTTAAATTTATTATTATTATTATTATTTTTTTAGTAAGGCAATTGGGGTTAAGTGACTTGCCCAGGGTCACACAGCTAGTACGTATCAAGTGTTTGATCTGAGGCTAGATTTGAACTCAGGTCCTCCTGACTTCAGGACTGGTGCTCTATACACTGCGCCACCTAGCTGCCCCTGGGTCCAGTGCTTCTGCAAAATATGGCATCTCAAAAGTTCATGGCACCTCTTACCCTAAGTGTGTGTGTGTGTGTGTGTGTGTGTGTGTCTGCACCAGTGTGTAGTCTGTTTTAATTTATAGTTTTCTGAAAAGCTAAAACTCATGTAGTTACCATGAGAAAGAATATAGTAGAAAAGGCCCCAGGACAGAACTTTGGGAAATAATCATAGTTCAGGATGTAATATGGATGGTGAGCCAGCCAAAGATGCTGAAAAGGAGTAGTCAGACAGGTAGGAGGCAAAGGAGGAGAAAGTATCCAAGAGGAGAGGGGGGGTCAACAATTCAGCTGGTAGGTTTTGAAGGATTTGGCCTGAAAAAAGATCATTAGATTTGGCTGCCACACTGCAGCCACCCTCAGGCCCTCATCACCTCCTCTCTAACCCATAGCAATAGCTTGCTGGTTGATTGACCTCCTTCAGGTGTCCCTCCACTCCAATACATCCTCCACTTAGCTGAAAATTTGTGCTTCCTAAAATGCAGGTCTGACATATCACCCCCAGTGACTTTGTGTTGTCTCTAAGACCAAATATAAATATAAATTCCTCTTTGGCCTATATAACCTGCCCCTTTCCTTCCTTTCCTGTCTTCTTACTGCCCCGTGTACTCTGGGATATACTGACACTGCCTTCACCCTCTACCTCCCAACTCTGGGCATTTGATTCATTATGTTAAATAATTATGTTACTTATATATAATTATATTACTCATATGTAAATGTATATATAAGTAAACATATATTAAGTAATTTACTTAAATATAAGGGTAATCATTTTGAATTACTGAAATTACTGAATTAGTGTGGCTCAGACCAAGAGAGGGGTTTCAGTGGGCTTCTGACAGCTATTAACTTGTGTAAATTTTTTTTCCTTACAGAAAGTAACTTTCAGTCTTACAAATGATCCTACAAAAGGTGAATTTCACGGATGAATGGAAGAAGGAACCTTCTGAAACATCACCTGAGTAGTCCCCTGCTCCCTTCCTTTTTTCTCACAGCAATTTCATTCTTCTCAACCACCCCTTACACTTTCTGCTGTCTCTGGTGTCACTAGTGAGCTCTCTTGTCAAATCCAGTAGGATTTTTTTTCAGCCTCCTTGACATCAGCAGCTTTTGACATTTTTACTGATTGCTCCTCTTCCCTCAACCTTAATGTGGGTGTTCCCCAACTGAACCAGCCCTAGGCCACATCTCTT